GACAATTATGAGAATTGGTGCAAGCAGGTTAAGGTGATCTTCTGTTATCAAGATCTTTGGGATCTTGTGAAGGACGGAGTAACATCGCTGGTGGAGAACGCAACGGAGGCGGAAAAGGCTGCGCACAAAGAATTGAAGAAGAAGGATTATAAAGCACTCTTTATAATTCATCAGTGTGTTGATCCTGATAACTTTGAAAAGGTTAGTGATGTTGATTCAGTAAAAGAAGCATGAGAGATTCTTGAAAAGTCGTTTGGAGGCGCAGAGAAGGTGAAAGAGGTGAGGTTACAAACTCACAAGAGAACCTATGAGTTGCTTCAGATGGAAGACAACGAAAGCATTACAGATTTCTTCACCAGAGTTACAAGGTTGGTGAATCAAATCAAAGTATGTGGAGAAACGTTGACGACGAAAGCAGTTGTCTCAAAGATTTTGAGATCGTTGGCTCCAAAATTCGACCACGTGGTAGTTGCCATAGAAGAGTCGAAAGATCTGTCAGTATTGACGAAGGAAGAGCTTCAAGGGACTCTTGAGTCTCATGAACAGAGGATGGCTGAGAGAGCTGCAGGAAAGTCGAAAGATATGGCTTTGCAGGCACAGACGGAAAAGGAGAGAAAAGGCAAAGGTAGCTGGAATGGCAACAAAGGAGGAAACCAGTCGAATCAAAAGAAACCTTGGAACCAAGGCAACCAAAGAGGTGGTGCTGCAGGTAAAGGAAAAGGTGGTGATCGAAAGACATACAAAAGCCACATTCATTGTTTCAATTGCCAGAAGTATGTTCATTATGTTAGTGATTGTCCAGAAAAGAAGAGAAATCAAGAGACTGATGCAAAGTTGGCGAAACATGAAGAAGAAGAAACATTGCTAATGGTCACAACAAACGATGAAGAAAGATTCCAAGATCAATGGTACTTGGACTCAGGATGCTCATCACACATGACTGGAAGGAAAGATTGATTTGTCAACATGAAGCCCTCGTCGAAGAATACGATGAATTTTGCAAATGACAACACTCTAGCAGCTGAAGGTGTTGGTGATGTTCTGATTATGAGGAAATATGGCAAAAGGTCAACAATTTCCAATGTGTTGTACATACCAGGCATGAAGAGTAATTTACTCAGTATAGGGCAGCTTGTCGAAAAGAACTACAAGGTAGTTGTCGAAGACAAGATGATGAGAGTCCTCGACGCAGGTGGTAGACTAATCTTGAAGGCTCCAATGTCTCAAAATAGGACCTTCAAGATTGGACTCAATGTGATGGAGCACAAGTGTTTAACAACTGCAGCCACTGAAGTCGAAATAGAAGTTCGACAGGAACCAGGTGCAGATGAAGCAAGTTCAAGCAGACCTCGACGAACTAGACACATGCCTGCAAGGTTGCATGAATGTGTAATCACATTAAATGATGTAGTCGATGAAAAGGGTGAGCTGGTACGTTATGCTTTCTACGAAGATGTCGAACCAGTCAATGCAGCTGAGGCATTGAAAGATTCGAAGTGGGTGAAAGCAATGATTGAAGAGTTAGAGTCCATCAAAGTCAATGATACCTGGTCACTTGTCGAATTGCCGCAAGGCAAGAAGGCAATTGATGTGAGGTGGATTTACAAGGTGAAGGTAAATCCTAAAGGAGAAGTAACTCAACACAGAGCGAGACTTGTGGCGAAAGGATTTCTTCAGAAGGAAGGAATCGACTTCGATGAAGTATTCGCACTTGTTGCTAGAATCGAAACAATCAGGTTGGTTGTTGGTCTAGCAAATATGAACAACTGGCACACATGTCAGATGGATGTGAAGTGTGCATTCCTTAATGGCCCCTTAGAAGAAGAAGTTTATGTTGCACAACCAGCTGGGTTTGTGAAACAAGGCGAAGAAAGAAAGGTGTACAGGCTTCATAAAGCCCTGTATGGACTTAAGCAAGCTCCAAGAGCTTGGAATAAGAAAATTGACAGCTTCTTAAGGGAGAAGGAATTTGTGAAGTGTACAACTGAGCATGGAGTATATGTAAGAAGAAGCAATGGTGAATTGCTTATACTATGTCTCTATGTTGATGATTTGTTGATAACAGGGAGTTCCAAGAAGGAGATCGAAGATTTCAAACATGACCTGAGTAAGGAGTTTGAAATGTCAGACTTGGGAAATCTCTCATATTTCCTTGGCATCGAATTCTACAAGACAAGTAGAGGTTTGATGATGCACCAAAGAAGATATGCAGGTGAGATACTCAAGAGATTTGAGATGCAATATTGCAACCAAACTTCGACTCCAGCTGAGCCCAGATTGCAACTGTCGAAGGATTCAGATAAAGATGATGTCGACCCAACCCAATACAGAAGACTTATTGGGTCACTTAGATACCTTTGCCACACAAGGCCTGACTTAGCATACAGTGTTGGTATGATAAGTAGATTCATGCAGAAACCAAAGGTATCACACCTAGCAGCGGCGGAGAGGATACTGAGGTATCTGAAAGGAACTCTCGACTATGGAATTTTGTTTCCAATAGCTGATGAAGGAAAAGAATGCAAGTTAGTGGGATACACAGACTCCAGTTGGTGTAGTGATGCTGAGGATCGAAAATCCACAGCTGGATATGTGTTTATGTTAGGTGGTGCACCAGTTGCTTGGAATTCGAGAAAGGAACCAGTGGTGGCATTATCATCATGCGAAGCAGAATATATAGCTGCTTCCCTTTGTGCATGTCAAGCAACTTGGATGGTGAACTTGGTCGAAGAAATCACAGGGAAGAACCATGGAGCAATTACCATGAAGATAGACAGCATGTCAGCTATCAACTTGGAAAAGAATCCAATAGCTCATGGTCGAAGCAAGCACATCGAAATGAGGTTCCATTATCTCCGAGAGCGGGTAGCAGAAGGGAAGATGAAGTTGGAACACTGCAGAACTAAGAATCAGATTGCAGATATCATGATGAAGGGAGTGCAGGTTGAAGCCTTCAGAAGACTAAGGGCCATGATGAATGTAGACAGTTTAGACACAATGAATTAGGTGGTGTGTTAAATATAATTCATTGTGATTTGATATGATTAGATTTGATATCATATGATTAGATTTGATATCATATGATTAATTTGATATGATATGATTAGATATCATATGATTAGATTTGATATCATATGATTAGATTTGATATCATATGATTAGATTTGATTTAGAATATTTTGGGCCTTTTATGTTTTGGCATAGTGTAAACCTAAAACTATAAATAGGGTGCCTTGTTTTGTATTCTACATCACAACAGAACAGATTTCACAGTTGCAGTTAGCAAGTGAAAGTTCAATAAGAAATCCCACAGTTGTGGGTAACACATTCTCTCCAAATACTTCTTCTCTCATTCTTCTCTTTCTTGTTTGTTATTCTTCTTCTCTTTTGTTGTTCTTGATAATTACTTGTTATTACCATCATTATCATATTGTGGGTTTGTTCATCAATCTTGAGATCAAGATTGAAGGGAATTCTTCATAGGGTGTGAGGTGAATTTCCAACACTTCAAACCACCAAACCATAGTGAAACTCTAATTTCCAACGTAGTGATAACCCATTTTTACAGTAGTGTCTGGAATAATCTAAGTAGATGACAACTATCTATACAAAATAAAATGAAATAATAATATTGTAGTACTATGAACCTGTTTGCTTAAGTTTTATTAAAAATGATTTCTATAATGTTACATATTTGTGTAAAAAAAATTTCTCATATTCAAATGAAAATTTAATTTGAATAATCATTTTAAAAATATTATTTTAAGTGTTTTATCATTTTATTGAAATTTTTTTAAATATCAAAATTTCAATAAATTATTTAATGGGTCATGCTAACCAGTACCCTCAGGGCATTAGTTAAGAATTCCAAATAAGGAAAATATATTATATTTAGTTCACTCAATACACACAATATTCTTTAAAAAGTCTGATTATTTCTCTTTTCAGGGCATTGAATACACATATATTTAAAAAAAATATATTTTCAATCTCTTAAATAATGTCCAACTTACCATTTTAATCTCTTAACCAATGCCCTGAGGACACTAGTTAGCATTTCGATTATTTAATTTTAAAGTTATTTCAAATAATTTTTTTATAAAAATAATTTTTGAGATACACATTTTTGAAGAAATTGCGATTTCAATTACTTTTGATCTTTAATAACATGTTTATATTATAAGATGTCAAAATTAATTTTTCAATTTTGAAAAAATAAATTTATAATATTTTATAATATTTTAAAACTTTTTTTATAAATTTTTCTTTTATATATAAAAAAAAAACTATTTTTAAAGCTAAAATAAACCCACCCTATATATAAAATGAATATTCAAAAAAATTAATATATAGTCTTTAAATTCTATATATACTCCATTTTAATATTTATAAAAATAGAAAGCACAAAAATCTGCAATTTTGAAGGATAGGAACTTGACTGTTTTGCCTCTTTTCTTTTGTGTGTTTCCATTACTACTCACGCTTAAATTTCTGCTGCTATGGTAAACTATTAAACCTGCTAATACTAAAAGCTGACAGATTTTGAGAAGCTGACAGAGTTAAATGTCATTATTTATAAAGTTAAACTGAGAAAATCTCAATTTTTGCTTAAATAAAATAGACTAGCACACCAAGTTAAACTGAGAAAATCTCAACTTTAAAGCAACTACAAATATTTACAGCACCCTCACACAAATGATAGTCACTCTCACTCCAAACATAATCGTACCTATATATATATATATATATATATATATATATATATATATATATATATATATATATATATATATATATATATATATATATATATATATATATATATATATATATATATATATATATATATATATATATATATATATATATATATATAACAATTCATATAGACATGTTAAGTCACGCTAATCAAAAATCAAACCATAACACATATGACTTATAAGCAAAACCAAGAATCCAAATTACATTGCCATGCACAAGAATGGTTGTTAATTTGTTTGCTACATCATCATGTCCCTAACTTCAAAGGAGTTCTTGTTCTTGACAACGATGTCATACATGTGCATGGACTTGAACCTATTGAAATCCATAGGGAGAGAGATAAGATGAACGGTGGAGCGTTTGTGGAACTGAAGCAAGTCAGGGTCATCATAGTAACGCTCCCACCCCAAAGAACTAAGCTTTCGCTCTAAAACGGCGTAAGAGGTGATAATCTCATTGCTCGCTGTGTGAACCAACACCTTACGTCGTCCGCCTGACCCTAGACGTCCACCCTCCATCGCCTCTGCGCCGTCCACTAGACGCACCACGCCGTTCTTGAACACCCAAACCCCTGACATTCTGGACTAGTACAAAAGGAGCAAGAAAGAAGAAACAAAAGCAAAGCTTGTGTTTTAAGGTTTTGGAAGGTGGTTGTGTAGATATGAGTGTGCAATGATAGTTGGAGATGGGTCAATGAGATATTTATATATGAAATCATGGGTGAGAATGCTCTTAAAAAATAATTTTAATATATACTTAAATATAGTCAAAATTGTTCAAGTTGATAAGGATATAATTAATACTAGAATAGTGTAGTTGAAGTTTCACTGTCTCAAAAACTTTGTTGATATATATGAGATTCGAGATGGTTCTCGAATTCATTTTAGTTGGACGACTCTGATTCAGTCCGAAATAATTAGTATCAACTTAAATATTTATTAAATTTAAAGTTTAAAATATTACTCTTCGAAATTCAATTCACGTAAAGAAGAAGAGTGAGAGTGAGAGGTTGTTTATTCCCCCTTAACAATTTGTAGAGTCCAAAGAGAATCGTTGTGTTGTTTTGAGGAGAATAAGTTATTCTAGAACAAAGTTGAATTGAGTTATAAGTTATAATAGTTACAACATGCAAAACGAATTACATGAATAATCTATGATAATGAGGTTAGGAAACTTTAATCTACGCAAGCAATTGGTTAAGAAAAATGAAAGAATGTGTTGTATTAGGATGTGGTTGAGGAATAAATTTGTTTGAGTAGAAAGGAGGATGCTCATGCATTGTAATAATATGCTCTTTTTAAAAAGTTTATCTTAATAGTTTGTGGGGAATTGGATATCTATTATCAACAAATGCATATATTGTTGTGGGTAGGGACCTAATATGAAAGGAACATGTCTCAATTAATTTTGGTCGTTAATTAGGTGTGGAGGATGCCAATGTTGATTCTCATTAGGTCCACATATACATGTGTATGGGGAAGGCTATCCAAGCATTTGCTTTTGATTTTGTTTATGCTGCCTAACTCAAAGTGCTAATTTTATACTTTCGATATAAAAAAGGTTTGTGTTTGCCTAACTATATATGTATGGAATCATCAATTTCATTGGAAATTCGAAAATTGTAATACACATGTAAGTTACCAATAATAAAATTTCAAATTTTAATTCATGTCAAAGACCGGGTTTTTATGAGCGGACAATTCAACCATTTGTGTCTAGCTAGTATAAGTTGGTTTCATGGGTAATAAGTATATCAATTTGAATGAGAGGTTGGTTCTTTTGAATCATGTTCATAATTCTATTTTCATTCTTTCTTTTTCTTCTTAAAAAGACATGTGAAAGTTTGAAAGAGTTTGACGAGATTGTAGTTTTTTTTAGGTACAAAAGGCATTTTAAAGATTGCGGGTATCTTGGTCTAATTTGCGTAGGCCGAAGTTTAGAATATGCATCATATAATGAATGACATATAGATTTAGAAGTTAAGCCGAGGATGACTTTGTCGGTTTGGGAACTCGAGCTTATAAGTATTTTGGTTTCGGTCATCGAGAGTTTTAAACGCTCTTTTGAGGAGGAAGACTAGTGATGATCACTTCGTAAGCATAAGTTATACTCTATCAATGAAGCTTATTCTTTACTAATTTTTTTGACTTTGATTTCGGAAACCAAAGACAACTTTTTTAAGCGTCCCACCGAAGACAACTTTTTTAAGCGTCATTTAATTAGGGATTCAAAAAGACTATCTTGCGAGAGTTGTCTCAATTTTAGGTAGACTTTCTTCCACTTCTTTATCACTTGTAAGGTTGCAGTTTCTCTTTAGTATAAAAATTTTAAGTGGCTGAGTTGTGATCTGATTTTACCTATGAAGTTAAAGTAGCTTTTTGAGTTAGTGAGATCTATTGATTCCAGGTATAGAGTTAGGGTTGAGTATACTTTGGTTTGACATTTAGTAAAGTGTATCTCATTAAAATTCTAAAATTATTTATTTTCTAGGTTTGACATATACCATTGTTGAAATGGTGAAAAGAGTTATTGTTTCTTCTTGGAAGTGGTTTTTTGTGTTTCATAATGAATGGATGAAGGACCACATTTAGTGTTTGATCCAGTAGCTATTTTGAAGATTTTTCTTTCCTTGTTTGTGGTGGCGTTTTTGGAGGTAGGTCTTTTTGGAGTTCTTCTTCACTCTGTCCTTAAACTTTGAGGTTCTTAAAAATTCTTATTTTTCTATGGTTTTTTCTCGTCTATTGAGATTTTATATTATAATGTCTTTATGTTTTATGAATTTTATTTTTCTTTAGGTTTTAAGAACACCGCTAATACTTTTCTTAAACCTTGTACTCCAGTTTTATGTGTGTGCACACATGCGGGATGTGTGTGTGTGTGTGTGTGTGTGTGTGAGAGAGAGAGAGAGAGAGAGAGAGAGAGAGAGAGAGAGAGAGAGAGAGGATCATATCATATGCAAACCTTACTGAAAATCCACCATTGGGATGAAGGTTCAAGACCCCAAGCATTTTTCTGACCCTACTTAACTAGTTTTGCGAGAAATCTGTGCAACTTATCTAAAAGACCTTCCTTTAAAGCGAGCAAAAAATGGTTTCACCTCAATTTTTAGACCTAAACATTCTCCATTTAGGACCTCCTACTACACATCACTTAAGATTTCTTTTGAAGGGGACACGCAGCTGATATGAGTCTAACCACACAACATGCCAAAACCTAGTTTGAATTTCATTCCCAACTGCCTTACTAAAAGAAGTGGCAAACTTTTCAATCGACTCTTCATGCTTATAGACAAGAAGAGTAACACCTTTCCACCAATGTGAAACCCTTCTGAGAACACCCTCTCCCACCTCACTCCACCCTACCCTACCCCAAAAAGGAGACTGCGAAAATTGAGAACCATACCTATTCAAAATGATATCCCTCCACAAAGAAGACCGGTCCTCAATAAGCATCTATCGCCACTTACTTAAAAAAGAGAAATTATTATGCCTTCATTCCTTGACCGTTAAACCACCTGGCCTCTTAACCTTACACACATCCACACACTTAATCCGCACAATCTTAACCATTTATTTTGAACTCGCATAAAAAGCGACTCTGTATTCCAACTAACTTCTTTCAAACTTGCATCTTCATAAGAGAGAGAAAATCAAAATAAAGTTTAAAACTGAATTTAGAACAATAAATTTCTCATTAAAACTCACAAACTTATTTCTCTGATAAGTCAACCTTTTAACAACATAAAAATACTTTCTTTATTTTTTTTTTTTACAAAAAAAAAAAACTTTTGAGAAAAAACTACACACGAGTATATGTAAAATATCAAAATAGTTTTTAAGAAAATCTAAAACAAACTGAATCTATTTTACTATTCAAATCACCAGCCTTCAAATTATTTATAATATGCCATGTTTAATTTTTATTTTATTTTTATTGTGTGGAGTGGGGATTGATGATACATACAACAAAGGAATAAAAAAACCACTTCAAACCAAATCCTTTTTTTTAATAATTTATTAAGAACCTTAAACATCAAAAGTGAATACCCAACAACCTTTTAAATACATATACTATACACAATATGTGTGCTCATGCTCAACTTAATATTGGTTGTAATACTCATTTTTTTCAATTTTATTTTTCTTTTCATCCTATTCTACACTACAAATTATATAGCCATGCAAGATGACTCTTGTATAGTACCGTGCATATGTGTTACAAATGCAATATTATTATAAGTATTTTTTATTTGAGAGCATGTACATGATAAGTACTAATATATTGTCATGCGCCAATTCTAAGTGTCTTTTCTTATAAACATGGACAAATTATAGATTTTCATTATTCATAAACCCTTTTATTGTGGTTACAAATTTTGAATTTGTCTAGTATATCAATCCATCAAATGCTTGGGGAGTTTTAGGAAATGTGAATCACACAACAACTAGGGAGAGAATAAAAAGTAGAGAAAGATTCCAAAGCCTTATCCCACCCAATCAAAATCTAGTTTTAAATTGATTCATAAAGTATGTAGGGCTTAAGGGCACACATATTCTCTTTAAACCAACACCATTCGTGACTTTACTTCAATTTCCCATCTCCCTCCTCGTGCCACATGGTCCTGTGACTACGATGTTGAAAAATACTCGTTATAATGACCGATACTTTAAAGTGGTTTTTCCTTATAAGTCAAATCTAGCTTAAATTCCTTTTGATGGTCATGAGCATGAGACCAAGTCAATGTCTTTAAATGGTAATGTTCTCTAAATTAAGTTGATAATAAACATATGTTGACCAAGTTGACTTTTCCTAAAGTTAAAAATGTTTTTAATTAAAAATTGATTATGTGTCGATATAAAACATGCAAATGCAACCTAGTTAGTCTCCGATACGGTGGAGTAGAAATGTACTCACAAGATTAACACTCAAACGTTTAAGTGAATGAAAACAAAAAAATTAAATTGTGCAAGAGTAAATGTAATTGTACCTGTTACGGTGTCTAGACAAGTTTGTATGTGAAGGGCGGTTAAAATTGTTCCTGGTTGTCACGATGTGGAATGTAGAAGACTGTGAGATCAGATTTAATTGCTAATGACGAGCAAATGACTCAAATATAGTGTGCATTCTTTTGGTGAGGGTTGTCTTGTCCATCGTTCTCCCATGAAGGTGTTCTAGATTTGACATTTGGTGATGGGTTGATCTTGGTGGGCCGCTTGGTCAACCTAGAACAATTGTTCGTCAAGCCCTTGTTGCAAGGTATATAAAGCTAGGATTGTGGCAAAAGCACTGAGACCGGCCTCAAGACCATTCTTCTTCCTCAAATTACTCGAGCGGGTCCACACCTTGGAAACGAAGTCTAAAACGTGTTGACTTGGAGCATATGACCTCAGGAGCACACACATTGAATGCATATCTTGTAATTGAAATATTTCCCCGTGTAACTTGTCCATGTGACCCTAGGTTCCTAATCTGGAGTGATCAAAATAGATCTTCTTGGCCTTCAATGTAGGGCACAACAGTGGTTGTATGAGAGGAGGGGTGTACCTGCAAGGTATTCCTATGGCAAAGTAAGTTTGGG